TATTGTAAAAATACCAGATGTCTGAACTTACTTTTTCTTTGACACTAAGCTTTAGTTCCAGTGCATGTAATTCTTTCTCTTTCATCTCCAGTATTTTCTTCAAAGAATCCACTTTCTGCAACCATAACCACAACAATAATGATGGAAAGACTAAACCAAAGCAAACTACATGTTTACAAAAGGCAAATGAAGTGCACAATAAGAAATTAAAAAACACACCTTCTCTTCAGCGTCTACATCTGATACTCTTCTACTTATCTCAGCTTCCTTTTCTTTTAATAAAGAATTGGCAGAGTCAATATTCTTCTCCAACACTTCTAGATCTCTCGCTTTCAGCTTCAGGTTTCTCTCCATTACAGTCACATTATTTTCTCTCTCACCAAGATTTTGCCTACCATCACTTAGCATATCCTCTCTTTGTCGTAGCTTCCTCTCCCACTCCTTCAAATCTTCCCTTTGTTTGTAGAATACTGTTTCAAATGACTCTCGACTGAAACAGGGATACAGTAAAACCTTCAATGAAGTGATTTACAGAGCACAAGACTAAATATGACTATATGAGTACTATAAATATTCATAAAGATTAAAACATGGTCCATACTCAGTAGCTACTGACAAACGCTCCTTTTGAAGCAAACTTTCGCGAACCTCCACCTCTCGCAATTTCAAATCTAGCTCTGCATTTTTTCGGTTAACCTCAGCAAGCCTAGCTTCTGCATCATAAAGTTTCATGTTAACCGTTGAAGACTTCTCTTCAATACCATCCACCAATGCATTTGCTTCATCTAGCTTTGTATGGGAGGAAGACTTGACTTGGGCAAGCTCTTCTTGCATTGCACGCAAAGCTCTCTCAAGCTGCGGTTAATAAATTTCAGCAAATTAGGAGAATTTAGGACAACCTTAAAATCAAATGAAAGCCAGTCCTCCAAATCCTATGACAAAAGGCCCAAGGAAAGAAAGCCATTTTACTCTCTCCATTCAAGATCAACTTGTAAAATAGCAAAGACAACCAAAACGCAACAAATTAGTGGAGTTATTAGGGGACGACTGCATAAACATACATGCATACATCTATCTATCAAACCATTGCAGGTTGTCCAAGAAGTAGTTTGACTAAAGTATGGCAAGATATCCTATATCCAAAACTCAATTATCCATACCCACCCGTGCATAAGTTTCTTTTTTGTTTTTTTGCAAACCAGGCATAATACAATGTAAACATTATCATCCAAACATATTTTTCTTTAAAAACAACCCTACATTTATTTTAAAAACCAAAGCCATTGAATTTCCACATTTTATTGTATTATTTTAAAAAACCCTAATAATGTTAAGAACAAAAACCTAAGAATGATTCCCACACATCAAGCATACACAATGTTTTGAAAGTGTCACTGTCAGACTGAGATCTAGTTCAGTCACAAAGTAGCATCAGCTACCTAACATGCAAAAATGCTTAAGACGGTTGGTAATGAAGTACATTAATATGTTTTAAAAAACTCTCATCAAATCCAAACAATTGAGTAGAAAATAACTAGCTGCCATAAAACATACACTGAATTCCAAAATGATTAAAACTAACCACAGTAGGGACTGACCAGGCCAGTGACTAATTCTTAAAGACCACAAACATAGCACTACCTACTATTAGTCAATTAAATATGCATATATATTTCATAGTGAAGTCAAAGAAAAAGGGGAAAGCAAAGTAAGCAACAGATGCAAAAACTATAGCTCAGCCTCGAGCCTATGATCAGCTCTTCCAATACTAATCAATATCAATAAGAGCATGTAAGCAAGTAGAACCAAATTCAACACAATCATATACTTGAAGATAGAAAAAGAACATACATCGGATCCACACTGCTTTTCTAAGCTCAATGCTTTTTTCAAATTTTCCTCTCGCTTCCCGACTTCAGATAATGCAATCAAATGTGAAGATTGTTCTCGTTTCAAAACCTCTTCAGTTTCAGCTAGTTCTTGCCTTAGCCGGTCAAACTTGGAACTCCACTCTTGCTTCTCAATCAACAGAAGGCCCATGTTGTACTGATAGTCAAAAAGCTAGCAAAAAATGAAAAGAACCAAAAATTCATCATATAGGTCAATCATCGACAAAATAACATATGGTTTCCAAAAGAACGCACTGTTACAATAATGTTCTAAAAGCACAACATTTAGATGTAACCATGAAATTGTATGATGGAAAGGCAGCCAAAGAGTTCTCTTAAGTCTTAACTACCAACTTAGATACATTTTTACATATCTTTTTACTTTATTCTACAGTCGTAATTCTTGCTTAGATTTCATCGCATTATCATGACAATGTTTTCAGAACAAGTAGCTTTTAATGAGTTATTGAGTTCGAATTTAAATCATTGAGTTAAAGCAAAATTCATGGAAATCAATAATCAGAATCAGAGTCGGTCAATACAAAGGCATGAATCACCTTAACCTTGTTGCAGAAGTAAGGGTTTTTTAAATTCCTCTCTGCATCAATGCTATGGCACCGCTACAGCAGCTATTTAATAACATTTTGTACTAAATGGCATGCTCAGAACAGAACAATAGCAATTTAACAACATTTTGTACTAAATGGCATGTTGCAGAACAGAACAATAGCAAAATTTTCAAATTCCACAACACTATAGTGATATAGATGCTATTTAACTAATCCGTTCTCTCCACTTATAGCCCTTGTGTACGTTTACAACAACGAGAACAAATCTCCATTCCAAATACTGGAAAAACTATTGAGAAGTGGTTGAGATTTTATGCATCTACAGAATTTAAGAGTTTGCATTTTTGAATCACTATGCCAATAGCTTAAATGCAATAACAGAAAGGATTTACCTTCATTAAGTAATCAAAAAAGCTTATTCCTCAAAATTATAATAATATCTAACATATAAAACATTAATGAGCAACTGCAACTACGTTTTAAAATTAAAATTAACTAAATTCAAATAGCAGAATTCTCTATAAAAAAATAATTACATACTAATCATAAAATTCAGCACAAACGCATCAATTCAAGCAAACCCTAACCAATTTAAAATCAAAAAATTGCCCAAACCAAAACCAAACTAACAAACCTCTTTTTCGAGCCTTGAGAGTTTCTCCATAAGCGCTTCCTGATCCTTTCTCTGCATCTCCGCTTCATCCAACAATCCAACCTCCCTAAACTTCTTCCAATCCTCAGCATACCCACCATCCAACCGTGAAGCAACCATCACCTCACCTCTAGCTTCAGTCAGAGAGCCTAACGGTGGCGGAGGCAGCGGCTCATCAGCGATAACGACGGCTTTGCCTTTTGCAGATGGTGTGAGGCCAGAACCAGGCGTTGAGCCGAGTCGATGCGGAGTGAATGTTGTCGTCGCAGATGTAGGTCGTGCTTTCCTCTGCGGCGTAAACATTGTGCCGTTGATTTGGGGAATTTCGCCGGAAAAGTTTTACTCTAGAAGCACGGTTAGGGTTTCGCCGGTCTGGGTTTTTTGAAATATGAAGTGTGAAATATTTGGAATCGAGTTTTGCACCAACGACGACGATCATAAATTGGGAAACAGAATAAATGCATATCTTGTAAAGAAAAATAGCAATATTTTGGTGTTTTAATTCAACATAAAAAGTTAGATTTTTTTTTTATCTATTAGGTTTAGCTTTAAAAAAATTCTTTGTATTTTAAAAAAGATTTTTATAAAAGTATTTTTTTTACAAGCTAATTCATTTTACACAATATTACAATATTTTTATTTTTTTTAACAATTTGTTTACAACTTCATCATCTTCATTATTTTTCATAGTAATTAAAAAAATCTTTTGTCCCAAAAGCTACAACCTACAACCCAACATAGAAACAAGGTTTTACCATTTTCTCTCTATTGAAAGTTTTCTATCAAAAACAAGGTTTCAATTACATACTAATTGGATCGCCGACTTCACAAAACGGTTGGCCGGCAAGGTCGTCGGAGAGGATTCTAAGACTGAGCTTCATTCAAATCAAAACCAAGAAAATTTTTTAGGAAAGTTTCTAGTTCTATAATAATAATTATTATTCTCTTTTAATTTTGATCGTTAAATTTCATTGGTATTGTTATGATATTTTGCAATTTGCAATATCGGAATCTCTCACTCTGAGATTGAAAATTTAACGAGAGATTAGGAAGCAAATCCTCTCCGCACATTTTCGTTTCTCACTGTGCACCACTAGCTGCTAGGTAGTACACACTATTTTTCTAATTGTTCATTGATTACCCCTTTTAATCTGGTTTTTGTTTTCATTTAAATTTGGGAAATTCTGAGTTTTAACTTGTTGGTGGTTTAGATTTTTGAATGTTATTAAGAATTGATTCTTATTCAAGTTATCCACATGTGTTGTTAGATGTGGAGATTTTTTTATTAAGAATCGATTCTTATTATAAGAATATAAAAAAAACCATTCTTGCATATTTCACTGTAGTAACAATCAGACGTTGGAGATGTTATGCTTCTCTTCCTTGCCTGTTATTTTATGAATGTTGGACATGTTAGAGATTATTGATTCCTTTAACCGTAAATGATTTCATTAAAAATTATTTTTTCAATTAAATTATATGAGTTAAAAATTATTTTTTTTCAATTAGATTATATGAGTTTGTTATATGTAGTCTAAAATATATTAATCCCATAATTGGTTACATAATTCGTGTAGGAAATAGAGAAAGAGCATTGGTACCATTAGTCGAATAGTTGTAGGCAGTATGGAGGTAAAAGGAGAAATTTTTAAATACTAGTATTATTGTACTTTGGTAGTTATGTTAAAACTATGTTGTTTATTGTGATAGGGACTAGAAGACTTGTCAACTGGAGTAGTTGATGAAACAACATGCGAGACCACTGTTGTTGATGACATTAGTGTTGAGGATGAAGAATCTATTGAAAAAATTATAAATATTGATAGCATATAGGATATTATTGGCATCAACCTGAAAAGATTAAAAGTCCCCATGAGACAAGAAAATTACATGGCTTATGAGTTTTACAACCAGTATGCTAAAATGAACGGGATTGCAGTTCGCAAGAGTAAGATCCTTCGAAGTAAGAAAGGAGAAATATTACAGCAGACATTTGTTTGTCACGGACAGGGGTTTAGGGAGGATAAAGGTTTAACGATAGAAAATTGTAAGCGTGAGTGTAAACCTGAGACTCGGCGTGGATGTGAAGCAAAATTTCGAGTGCATATAGACATGGTCTCACAATGTTGGTGGATAACAGTTTTTAATGATCAACACAATCATGAGCTTTTAGATGAAGAGTACCATGGAATGCTTACTTCACATCGAAAAATGAAAGAGTCAGATATAATGCAGATGAGCGACATGTTGAAGGTTGGTATAAGGTTGTCTCAATTCTATGGTTCTTTTGCCAACCAATCAGGAGGGTATAAAAAAATAGGGTTTCGTAGGAAGGATATATAAAATCAAATAGGAAAGCAACGCCTTTTGCAACGATGTGATGGTAAAAATGCTTTACACTATCTTCGTGGGCTGCCATCAGATGCCCCGATGATGTTTTATCGTCACACTGTTGATGGAGAAGGTAGGCTTGAACATCTTTTTTGATGCGATGGTATAAGCCAAATGGATTTCAAAGTTTTTGGTGATGTGTTGGCATTTGATGCAACATACGGGACGAACAAATACCATTGCCCCTTAGTGATATTTTATGGAGTTAATAACCATAATCATAATATTATATTTGGTGGTGCTATTGTTGCAAATGAAAAAGAAGAAACATATGTGTGGGTTCTTGAACAAATTTTAGAAGCAATGTCAGGTAAGTCGCCTATATCTGTCATTATTGATGGCGATCTTGCAATGAAGAAAGCAATACAAAGGGTGTTTCTGAATGCTTATCATAGGTTGTGTGCTTGGCATCTAATTCGCAATGCAATGTCTAACATTGGAGTTCCTGAATTTATTAGTCAGTTTAGGATATGCATGTTGGGTGACTATGACCTATGCGAGTTTCGGCGCAAGTGGGATGACATGATTGACACATTTGGGTTGCATGACAACAAGTGGGTAACTGAACTATATGCAAAGAGAAAGATGTGGGCTACAGCTAATATACGCGGAAAGTTTTTTGCTGGGTTCAGAACTACCTCCCGGTGTGAGGGGGTTACATTCAGAAATGGGGAAGTTTCTTCACTCACGATATAATTTAACTGAATTTTTATTACATTTTCATCATTGCCTTAATTACATGCGCTATAAGGAGGTCGAAGCTGACTTTGCATCAAATTACGGCGATCCTATGCTACAAACAAGATTTCAGAGCACAGAGCGTTGCGCTGGGAAGTTATTTACAAGGGAAATATTCTTTATGTTTCGTGATACTTGCACGGTTCGCAGAGATGGTAGTGGCAACATAAAATCAAAGTTATACTTGCTTTATATACATAAGTTGCAAGTATCAAGCATCAAAAAGGGAGTGGAACGTATCATTCTATCATAATGATAACGTATCATAATTAAGGCAACATGAAATTTAAACACGTCATCATCATGATACTTGTAACTTATGTATATAAAGCATGTATAGGTTTGATTTCATGTTGCCACTACCATCTCTACGAACCGTGCAAGAATATCACGAAACATAAAGAATATTTCCCTTGTAAATAACTTCCCAACGCAACGCTCCATGCTCTGAAATCTTGTTTGTAGCACAGGATTGCCGTAATTTGATGCAAAGTCAGCTTCGACCTCCTTATAGCGCATGTAATTAAGGCACCGATGAAAATGTAATTAAAATTCAGTTAAATTATATCATGAGTGAAGAAACTTCCCCATTTCTGAATGTAACCCCTCACACCGGGAGGAAGTTCTAAACCCAGCAAAAAACTTTCCGCGTATATGAGTTGTAGCCCACATCTTTCTCTTTGCATATAGTTCAGTTACCCACTTGTTGTCATGCAACCCAAATGTGTCAATCATGTCATCCCACTTGCGCCGAAACTCGCATAGGTCATAGTCACCCAACATGCATTTCCTAAACTGACTAATAAATTCAGGAACTCCAATGTTAGACATTGCATTGCGAATTAGATGCCAAGCACACAACCTATGATAAGCATTCAGAAACACCCTTTGTATTGCTTTCTTCATTGCAAGATCGCCATCAATAATGACAGATATAGGCGACTTACCTGACATTGCTTCTAAAATTTGTTCAAGAACCCACACATATGTTTCTTCTTTTTCATTTGCAACAATAGCACCACCAAATATAATATTATGATTATGGTTATTAACTCCATAAAATATCACTAAGGGACAATGGTATTTGTTCGTCCCGTATGTTGCATCAAATGCCAACACATCACCAAAAACTTTGAAATCCATTTGGCTTATACCATCGCATCAAAAAAGATGTTCAAGCCTACCTTCTCCATCAACAGTGTGGCGATAAAACATCATCGGGGCATCTGATGGCAGCCCACGAAGATAGTGTAAAGCATTTTTACCATCACATCGTTGCAAAAGGCGTTGCTTTCCTATTTGATTATATATATATATATATATATATATATATATATATATATATATATATATATATATATATATATATATATATATATATATATATATATATATATATATATATATATATATATATATATATATATATATATATATATATCCTTCCTACGAAACCCTATTTTTTCATACCCTCCTGATTGGTTGGCAAAAGAACCATATAATTGAGACGGCCTTATACCAACCTTCAACATGTCGTTAATCTGCATTATATCTGACTCTTTTATTTTTCGATGTGAAGTAAGCATTCCATGGTACTCTTCACCTAAAAGCTCATGATTGTGTTGATAATTAAAAACTCTTATCCACCAACATTGTGAGACCATGTCTATATGCACTCAAAATTTTGCTTCACATCCACGCCGAGTCTCAAGTTTACACTCACGCTTACGATTTTCTATCGTTAAACCTTTATCTTCCCTAAACCCCTGTCTGTGACAAACAAATGTCCGCTGTAATATTTCTCCTTTCTTGCTTCGAAGGATCTTACTCTTGCAAACTGCAAACCCGTTCATTTTAGCATACTGGTTGTAAAACTCATAAGCCATGTCTAGACTTGGAAATTGAAATTTCCTTGTCTCATGGGGACTTTTAATCTTTTCAGGTCCATGCCAAGAATATCTTCCATGCTATTAATATTTATAATTTTTTCAATAGATTCTTCATCCTCAACACTAATGTCATCAACAACAGTGGTCTCGCATGTTGCTTCATCAACTACTCCAGTTGGCAAGTCTTCTAGTCCCTATCACAATAAACAACATAGTTTTAACATAATTACCAAAGTACAATAATACTAGTATTTAAAATTTTCTCATTTTACCTCCATACTGCCTACAACTATTCGACAAATGGTACCAATGCTCTTTCTCTATTTCCTACACGAATTATGTAACCAATTATGGGATTAATATATTTTAGACTACATATAACAAACTCATATAATCTAATTGAAAAAATAATTTTTAATGAAATCATTTACGGTTAAAGGAATCAATAATCTCTAACATCTCCAACATGCATAAAATAATAGGCAAGGAAGAGAAGCATAGCATCTCCAACGTCTGATTGTTACTACAGTGAAATATGCAAGAACGGTTTTTTTTATATTCTTATAATAAGAATCAATTCTTAATAAAAAATCTCCACATCTAACAACACATGTGGATAACTTGAATAAGAATCAATTCTTAATAACATTCAAAAATCCAAACCACCAACAAGTTAAAACTCATAATTCCCAAATTTAAATGAAAACAAAAACCAGATTAAAAGTGGTAATCAATGAACAAGTAGAAAAAATAGTGTGTACTACCTAGCAGCTAGCGGTGCCCAGTGAGAAACAAAAATGTGCAGAGAGGATTTGCTTCCTAATCTCTCGTTAAATTTTTAATCTCAGAGTGAGAGATTCCGATATTGCAAATTGCAAAATATCATAACAATACCAATGAAATTTAACACAGTCAAAATCAAATATCAACATCAAAAATATAAAAACATTATCATTATTACAATTCAGGGATAAAAAAAACGCATTCAATTCGCATGAATCTGAACTGAAAAGAGAATAATTATTATTATTATAGAACTTGAAACTTTACCGAAAATTTTTCTTGGTTTTGATTTGAATGAAGCTCAGTCTTAGAATCCTCTCCGACGACCTTGTCGGCCAACCGTCTTGTGAAGTCGGCGATCCAATTAGTCTGTAATTGAAATCTTATTTTTGGTAGAAAACTTTCAATAGAGAGAAAATTGTAAAACCCTGTTTCTCTGTTGTGTTGTAGGTTGTACCTTTTGGAACAAAGTGTTTTTTTAATTACTATGAAAAATAATGAAGATGATGAAGTTATAAACAAATTGTTACGTGAAAAAACTTCTTAAAAAAGTAAGAATATTGTAATATTTGTGTAAAAGGAATTAGCTGTAATTGATTTTACATGTTCTCATATTAATTATATTAAATTTAAACCATCTATTTAATTTATTGGTTATTGTTCAGGGTTTCACTGGTGAGGAATTTAATTGAACCCTGACCCTATACTTAACCTTTTTTAAATATTAAAAGTTATTTTAAAATATTTTTTTTTAATTTGAAAAATTAATTTTCACATTATTATATAACATAAATATATATTATTGAAGAACAAAATATAATAATATAAATGCACAATTTTTCAAAAAAAAATTATATAAAAAAATGGTTTTTTTTATAAAAAAACTATTTGAAATAGTTTTAAAATTAAATAATTTTTTGAAATTTTGATATTTAAAAATATTTTGATAAAATAATAAAATACCTAAAATAATATTTAAAAAATAACATTCAAACTAAATTTTCATTTGAAGATTTGATGAAAAAAGTTATAAATTTTTTACGACAAAAGTAAAAATATGTAACAATATAAAGATCATTTAAAAAAAACAAACTGCCATAACTTTTTGAATTTAATTGATATTAACTCATGTGTAAAATAGTTTAAGAAATTTGTTTTATAAAAATTTAATAATCTTAAAGTGTCTCATAAAAAACTATAAAATTTGTTTCGTTAAATCAGCTCAGTTGTTAATTGTTCAAGGATATCATATGTAGCAATATTTTATTTGTTTATAAGGCAAAACAACTTTTTTCGTTCCTTAACTTCAGGTCGGGGTCCTGTTTGATCCCTTAACTTTAAAAAGTGGCAAGTTGGTCCTTTAACTTTTAAAATGGTATCACGTTTATCCTTTCATCTGTTGTCGTTAGTCAAAGCTTGAAAATAGATGTCACGTTTGTCCAGGTGGATTTTATGTTGTTGACGTTGATATAAGATGTCTTAAAACAAATCCAAATGTATTTTGCTTTCCATTACCTAGAAACTCAATAGATTGTTGCATCA